AAAATCGACTTGAAGGCAACTGGTTTTTATCATTATGCTAGGTGCAATTCTAGGTCCTGGGCATATAGCAGGGAACAACACAAAGTCCCTGTCCTCATGGTGCTTTCTTTCTAGTGAGCTTATGTATTACATGTAACTTCTGTTGGAGAAATGTTCTTATTCTTTTACCTAAATATCGTTATTTTATCTGAACGTATTTGATACTTGGATAGTTCAAAAAAAAAAAAAAAAAAAAAAAAAAAAAACAAAAACAAAAAGCAGCCAGCCTTCATTAGGCTAGCTGGTTCTGTGAGTGCACATCAAAATGTTTATTATCTCTGTGTTCCTGCTAGATGAAGACGTGTGTCCACTACTGCTCTGTTTCATAGCCATGTAATCATGTCAGAAAAAAATCAAGTGATTTAGGTTTAAAGTAAATCAGGAGAGCCAGAACAATTTTTCTATAGGCTTTGCATTTTTCTTATAATTCGAGCAGATTTAACATGACTTGAGAGTGCTGGTTTTTCAAACCCTATTATCACACTTTTGCCTTTCCATGTCACACTAACTTAAGGACAAGGATCTAACTTCTAACATAGGTTCAGCTCAGTATGCATTCTAAAAACAAAACAAAACAAAACAACCTTCTGAGTTCAAATCTACCAATATTTAAAATAAGTGGACAGAAAAATTTTAACATCTATTTCTCTTGAAAGAATGCATGCTCACTATAATATATAAATAATACAGAAATGTATAAATCGAGATATGCTATTTATACGGAATTACAATATTTATAGATTTAAGTAATCAATCTTTTTATGGTTTATATATGGATTATGCAGGAGAAAGATGTGGCAGTCTGCTTCTGTAAAGATTTATAGCCTTGGAAACCCTATGGGGAAGTTCTATGCTGTCCTGCAGGGTCACTATGAGTTGGAATTTACTCAACGGCAGTGGGTTTTGGTTTGGTGGTAAATGGGTTATAAATACTGATCAGTCTCATCAGATTGCTTGACTGGCTGGCATATTTTTTTAATCCATAACATTTTCAGCTCCTAGAATAACAATCAATATATTCAAAACTAATTTTGAAAGAGAACATCCAATACTGAATAGGACTTCCATTTAAAAGTATGGTTTTTAGAAGGTACACTTACATTTCCTGTCAGTACAGTCTTGAAGAAGACAGAACAAGATACTGCCATCCATTTCTGAGAATCTCAGGATTCTCAGCATCAGAATCTCACAGATCATTTAGTGCAGTGGGTAGGGGAGGAGAAGAACATAAACACGCCCCCAGGTGAATTCTGAAACACACACACACATACAAGGCTACCTTGAGAATCATTGATTTGGTCCAACCTCATGATTTTACAGATGAGAGAACCAATGTCCAAGCAAGCAAAGAAACCTGTCAAGTCACACATACAGGAGTGGCAGAAGTTGGACCAGAACACAAGCATCGTCTCCCAATTAGGTCTTTTTATCTATGTGCTAAGCCACATTAGAAGGTACCTTCTGCAGATTAGTGTAGAACACCTCAGCTCCAATGGGCTCTCCTAAGGTTAAGTATACCAACAAGTCTCTGTATTATACCAGAGCCTGAACTATACCCCTACTCATGGGGTCGCCATGAGTCAGAGTTGACTCAATGGCAACTGGTTTTTTTTTTTTTTTTTTTTTAATTCTAACAAAAGAATCTCAAAGGTTTTGGTTGTTGGTGGTGTTGTGTTGTTGTTGTGTGTTTTGTTTTTAGAAAGTGGAAGGCAGTTTAATTAAAACCTAAGTTAAAGTATCATTCTAACTTGACAAACTAATCAGCATGTAGGTTTTAAAGTTTAGAGTGAGAGAAAAACAGAAGTTGGACCAACCACACACATACACACCACACACACAGACAATGTGATTCTATTATCAGTGTGAAGCTGAGTGGCTCACTGTAAGCTGTTGGAGGAGAAAGGGATCTCCCAGTGTGATCAGCCCTGAGGGAGGTGGGGGACATGTTGCTTCAAGCCCTTTTCTCTCTGGCTGAGTCCTGGAACAGCCACAATGGACGACAGCCATTGGTGGCCAGGGAAAGGTCACCAAAGACAGAGTTCGAGAGCTTGGGGAAGTGGGAGAATGAAATGTCTAAAACATAATTGCAGTCTGTTCATACATTCATCTAAGTTGAAAATGTTTATCCCAAGACAACCTTTCCCCTGCAATGAGCGCTATTGAACACAGCTGGCATTTTAATGAGGCTAAATCTGGCATTTCTGCCATTAGCAGAGGTGAACGTCAATACATTAAACTCTACTTTTCTTTATCTTATAAGAATTTGGGGTTCAGAATGTCTTTATTCAATGTATGTTCATCTCTAAAGCTATGTTGTTCTTATGTGTTGTCGAGTCGATTCCGACTCATAGTGACCCTATATGACAAAGTAAAGCTATGAGGAATAATTTTTGTTCTGACAGAGATTTGGTGTTCAGTACTGATGAAGAATAGTTACACACACACACACAAAGAATAGTGGCACAAATCATAGGCAATGTATTCTACTCCCTACCTTAAAAAAATACAGTACCCTTAAGTGCTAGTACATGACTCTGTTAAGAAATTACAGCTGACATTTATTGACTCCTACTTGCCAAGCATGTGCTAATCGCTTTACATCAACAATCTTATTTAATCCTCGCAACAACTTTATTATACTGATGCAATTTTACATTTGGGTAAACTGAGGCTTAGACAAGTTATGGCCTAAGGCCTGCAGCCAGTAAGTGACAAAGCTGAAATTTAAACATAAGTTTGTCTAACAACAAAGTCTATGCTTTTGATGTTCTACTTGCTCTAATTTCATTCACATCCCAGCACATGAATCTACCAGACAGATATCCTAACGTGATTTAAAATTCATATGACTAATTTGTAATTTAGCGATATGTAGAGTTTGGGCAGAAATTTTTCTCAAATTCTGGACCATTCTAAGCTGGAGTTCCCCTAATGATATCACGAAAGAACCTCTGATGACCCCCATCACACTGGAAGTTTCCACGAATGTCAACTTACTGTCTGGAGTTCAGTAAAGATAAATGAGTGGTAGTGACTAGACTAAACGAGACAATAGCTTTTTTCTTAAGGTAGCTGAAATATCCAACAGATATTCTCATGGCAATGACTTAACACCTTAACTGGAAATATTGAGGAATATATTTTTCCTTTTTAAGAAAATACGTAACATACCCCAGGCTTCTTAATCTTGGGCCACAATGAAGACGCGTGCTAGGAGTGGGGCTGTTTTCCGAGCCATTGGTGTTCCCACCTTTTTGCCTTACTCTTGCTCATCTTCGGTCAGCGCAGCTCTGCTGTCCTGTTTTTCATATTGTATGGGATCTGATGCTTTTATTCAATAATCAAAACTAGAGAGCATTCTTTGATGTTGTTTTAATTTGGCACAAAATTAAACACATTATCAAAGACAAATGAAACTGAAAGAAGCAAATCAAGATTGCAGCCCCGAATTTTCTACCAGGGTCACAATTGCTGATTAAAGATGCAAAATGCCCAAGTAGACCAGCCCCAGCTACCTTTTGACATGAAGATCTATGAAGAGGGGTGGCTAGCATGTATGGTAGGGGGCTGGAAACCACTTCCAACTGTTATTAGAATAATTTCACATCCTCATCCTTAAGTCGGCAAACAGGAATCAAGTCTTTTTTATGTTGCTCATTTTAAGGAAAGTTTCTTGAAAAAGGAGAAGAAAAAAGATGTATGACTAATGAGACAAAACCCATGTAACCGTCCAGTTCTATCATATTTTCTCATCCTATTAAGATGATGGCTCAGTTTCAAATAAAGATTAATTGCTTGAGTGTGGTTAATGCCTAGTCCAGACAAATTATTTTATAAATGAGAGACCAGCTATTTTTGTCACGCTCTTCGTATCCCAGGTAAATTGCATAGAAATTAATACTTTTTAAAAAATGCATAGCCTTTGCTTCTCACCCAGTCAACACCTCCTTGAATCAAGTTCTTAATGTTAGTAAATATATACAGTCTTTCGAAGTGACCTTGCTGATCTATTTTTGATCATGTGAACTTTGCTGCCTTGTCGTTTGCCATGATGAGTTCTTGGTAACATTATCCTTTCTGATAAATTTAATTGAAACAAGTTAGACGTTTTTCAAACTAGTTGTGTATAAGCTTGCCTAGATTGCTGTGTTCCATTTGGCGCTTAGAAAACCAGGCACTGGGTAAATGTTTTTCAGTTGCATCTGCAGCTTAGTTTTTCAGTCTTACTGACATAAGCGATCAATTTTAATCCTCCTATATGAGTCACATGCTGTTTTCCAAAACTAAAGTTACATGCCTCAAAATCTTCCCCTTCTTTTGTGTGACAGATGACATCTTACACTGACAGTGGACAATAAATTTACACTCAACCCATACGTGAACCTAAACACACAAGCCCCCCACGCGCAGTACAATTCAAAGTGACATCCCCCTTTTTTTTCCCTCCTACTTCAGTGATGCAGAATCACAGTCTAATTAACATGCCTCTTTTTGGGGGTGCTGAATGGAAAGAAAAGAACACGAGAATGGCACCTTAATCCAGACAACGTGTAGCAAAAAACCCAGAGCAGACCACAGTTCTTAGCAGACAGCGTGATTAAGGTTCCCAAGATAGAGCACGGAAGAAGAGTGATTCTCCAGGGAAACACATCACACCCCCAACTGCCTCCTGGTTAACCCAGCCACAGTATCTATGCCAAAATTCAGATTAACTCGGTGTCCTCCTTAGCCCCAGTGCAAGTCTATTTCTATTTCTTCCAGTCTCAGCTCTGCAAAGCATCAGTATTCTCTTCAAAAAAAAAAAAAAAAAAAGTATAAGCTTACATTCTGGGCCATCCATCAGTCCTACCCTTTGATTAAAGACTACACCCAGTAAGGTATTTTCCAGTGAAGATGCCCACAGCCGTCTCCATCCCGGGGATATGGAAATGGAAGTAGATGCAATTGCATGGGTAACTTACCAGCTCCTGAGTTCTGAATGGCTGCAGCAGCCCCACTGCTTTACCTGATCCCTTGCTCTCTCTGTCTCTCTCCCTCTCTCTCTCTCCCTCTTTCTCTTGTGTACAGATTGCAGGGAACTTAAAGAACTCGCAGGGACAGTGTTTCAGATGACTTAAGAAAGAGAACAGGAACAATACTTCGTTCTCTTTTTCTCAGATGAGTACCTTCGGGAAGAAGGAAGGAAGGGAGGGGAGAGGGAGGAAGTCAACAACCCTTTGCTTTCCTGAAAAAAAATAAGGAAACAGAAGATAGACATCTCATTTTCTCTTAAACAAAATGTTGGAAGGGGCAAAAAAAAAAAATCTTTGAAAAAAGGAATTCCTCAAATATTATGCTCTCTGTCCTGGGAATGTTAAAGAGGTGAAAATGTCTTAGTGGACTGTCCTGTCCAAACAAATGGCGTTCCAGAAGGGCAGGCTCTCCTGAGCCTGCAGTTGCTGGTATCTGCTTTGCAGAACTAACACAGCCAAATGGGAACAAATCATGTCATGTTGATTCTGAGCAAGGGAAAGTTTGGGCTGCTATGCTAACTGAGGCATACCTGCAGCTGGAAGACTGGGAGGCATGGCCAGCCGGCCAGGGCTTTTGGCTTTCCCTGGGCCCTTTGAAACACCAGAATCAAGCATTGCTGCAATTCCTCAGCTCAACTCTAGATCCTTAGAATTCTTCCAGGATCAAACCACAGATGTATGCACTGGTCACTGAGCTTTATTCAATGAACCAAATTCAGCTTCTATCTTTGCTGCTGGATGAGAAAGAAAAAGAGCAACTTACCACTGCCTGCAGTTGGACAAGGCTATCGCAGAACTGCTGTTTAAGTTGTCCTATCCTTTACATTCCTAAGGCTTCTTGGATTTAGTCACCTCTGGAAAACTGGCAGGTGGTTTCTAATTTGTTTTCAAAAAACTGCGAAGAGGTATAGATCTTCAGTAAACCAGCCACAGTTTTTGAAAAGGGATAAGGAGGCTGAGCAGCAGGAGCAGAGAAAATGATGGGGAATACCCTTTACCAAGGTCAGGGCTCTTGGGAGCTCCATGTGAAGGCGTGAGCTCTGTTTAGGGTTAGCTGCTCTTAGGAATAAGCTTGGGTTTGGTTCTCTGTTTGGTGTGTCTTGTCCCCTTCATTCATTTGGTTAAGACCATTTTCACCACAAACAGGAACCAGCAGTTATGGGGACCTTTGTGGCAGCAAAAGAAAAACTAGCCTTAAGCTACTTCCTTTATTTCACTGTATTTTGAAAAAATGGGGTGGAGAGTTAACACCTGATCACAAGAAGCTATTAAAGTGAGTTCCGGGAGAGAACGATTCTGATTCAGTCTCTATGTAAGGGTGTTATTGGGTCCTTGAGCAGCGCAAATGGTTAAGTACTTGACTACTCGAACCTACCCAGAGGTACCTTGGAAGACAGGCCTGGCCATCTGCTTCCAAAAGGTCACAGCCTTGAGAACCCTATGGAGCAGTTCTACTCTGCACATACAGGGTTGCCATGAATCATAATCAATTCAACGGCAACTAACAGCAACAACAGTATGCTCTATAAGATTATTCCTCAGCTTCAATAGTTTTCTCTCCGCATTTATCTGTCTACTGTGTGTGTATCTGTCAGAGAGGATATAAAGATACTGTTGTTCAGCAGGTTTGTAACATCCAGGGTACAGTCCTATCCCTTGCCTTCACTATGGCACCAAGACTAGTGCAACACATGGCACTGGATTTATGGCATGGCTGACCTACCCCCATGTACAGTCAACAGAGCCTCTAGGGTTTGCCAGGTCACACACATCAGTGGCAGAAACCACAATATCCATCTGTCTCCTGATTCCAGTTCTAGTGCTCTTTGCCCTCTGCTGGCCTTCCTCCGTATCCTGCCTTTGTAGAAATGGGAAGGAAAATTACAATTAAAATCCGAAAAAGCAAGGGAAGAGCGTGAGAGAACAGAGAGGGGAAGGAATACAAAGGGACTGACTCTTTTACGGGGATCGTGATATTGGGGACAAACCCTCTGAGTAGCTGTAATGTTAAGAAGCACTCTGATGAAATGTCCAGTGGAAAAGTGGAAGTAAGTGTGGCGAGATCAGAGTCAGTGGGGAGAAATAGGGAAGGGGGGGGCTACGTGTATCAGGCTGTGGCATCAGGCTGTAAAATTTTCAGGAATGAAAAGACCCCTAGTCAGCTAAAGAATCAATCACAGCCACATGCAGTGCTGTCCACATTTTTTTTCCTCTTTGCAGCCTCAGGGCAAGGCCAGGCCTGAGCCCCAGGAGTCCAGTCAGAATCCAAAGGATTTCCCTTTTAAGTCTACAGAATGTGGGGCCTGTCACGTTGAGGCTGTGTTGTTTTCTCCAAACGGCCCAAAGACAGCCTTGATGGTGACAAGTCCCAGCTGAGTCTGCGCAGCTTTGATTTAATGGCACAGCATCCAGGCGGGGTCTGGACACAACCCTGCCTGTGCTGAGCTATCTCATTTACATACCTCGTTGCGGCCATGCCTGCGAGAGTCTTAGAAAAGAGTTTTCCCCTCATTTCCTGTGCTGCCTACCATTGGAAAAGTGATCCTCTAATACTTGGAAAATCATCCACTGGGCATGTAGACGCTGGAAATCCTAAGTCTCTCCCACTAGGTTTCACAAGAGAGATTTCGAATCAGGTCACTCAAGCTGGCAAAGCTTCCTCTCCAGCTCTCTCATGGGTTATTCAGACTCTGACTGAAAGTGAAGGATATGTGTACTGCAGACAGCTGAGGAAAAGTGTGTGTAGAAATGGGTTATGGCCCTTCCACTCACCCCTCTGGTAGCCCTAAACTGTGTGGCATATACAGATCACTTGAGCAGAGAAGGAGGTCTGCAAGCACCTGCCACTGGGTTGGCGGGGGGAAGGAGAAAAACCAAAGTATGAAATCTGATGAGGCCAAAGCAGTAACCCCCATACTCAGAACCAACACTACAGAAATATCTGCTTCACTCAAAATGGCCTCCCGCCTTTGAGACATCCTTATTTGTACTTCTCCAGCTTCCAGTTATCCAGAACTCTAGGGCTATCTGTTTAACTAAGAACAAATTTGATCCCAGATCATGGAAGAGGGGATATGGTGGGGGGATAAAGCATAGTACAAAAAAGTTCACAAAAAAATAAATGAACTTTCACAAAATGAAGACACCTGAGTAACCAGCACCGGATCAAGAAACAGAAGAGAAGACCCCTTGTACCCCTCCAGTTACAGCCACCCCACAGGGGTCATACTACCCTGACTTCTAACACCATAGATGCTTTCTTGATTATCTAGGGCTGCTATAACAGAAATACCACAAGTGGATGGCTTTGACAAAGAGAAACTTATTCTTCTCACAGTCTAGGAGGCTAGAAGTCTGAATTCAGGATGCCAGCTCCAAGGGAAGGCTTTCTTTCTCTGTCAGCTCTGGGGGAAGGTCCTTGTCATCAATCTTCCCCTGCTCTAGGAGCTTCTCCGTGCAGGAACCTCGGTCCAAAGGATGTACTCTACTCCCAGCACTGCTGTCTTGGTGGTATGAGGTCTCCATGTCTCTCTGCTCTCTTTTGTCTTTTATATCTCAAAAGAGATTGACTAAAGACATAATCTTGTAGATCGAGTCCTGCCTCATTAACCTAACTGCCTCTAATCCTGCCTCATTAACATCATGGAGATAGGATTTACAAAACATAGGAAAACCATATCAGATGACAAAATGGTGGACAGTCACACAATACTGGGAATAATGGCCTAGCCAAGTTGATACACATTTTTGGGGGACACGATTCAACCCATAACAGATGTGTATTACCTATTTTTGAGCTTACATAAAAAATGCCATCAGTTTGTACTTTTCTGATTCTGGTTTCTTTGCCTCAATATTATACATGTCAGACTCATCCCTATTGTTGAGTGTAGTTGTGGTTCATGCATTCTCGTTGGTAAACAGTATTTCAATCTGTGAGTATACCACAATCTATATATCTGTTCTACTGAAGATGTATATTTGGGTTGTTTTTAGTTTGGGGCCATCATGCATGGGCTGCTAGGAATATTCCCGTCCAAACCAGATGACTTTCTAAACGCCTGGTACAGACTGACCCCCTTTCCAGGCATATGGTCCACTCCAGTGACTCTCAACTTTTCGTTTGATTTCTTTTGGTACCCACTTCCTCCCATACCACATAGGACTCATGGTATAGTTTTGTTTGTTTGTTTGTTTGTTTGTTTTAATTCAAATGAATCTGGTTTGAGGACATGACGATAACCTTGGAAATACTGGCAGAGTTCCTGAGGAGCTTCAAGAAGGGTTGAGAACCGCTGTTCTCACTTCCTGCAGAATCCTTTAGATGCTGGTTCCTGCTGCTCTGAGTCACGCTTCCTTGGCTTTCCATCTCCTCTACAGATTCTCTGAAAAATGTCTCTTCTCCCTCCTCTGGTCTTCTCACAAACATACGAAGTTCTGTTTTATTAATGTGTATAAGGGGTGGCCAGCTCTTGGGCCTGAAAGTGCTTTGAAACTTCCTTTGTTTCTTTGATTTATTCCCTTCATCTCTTCAAGCCCCAATATACTCCAAGACCCAATTCTCAAAAATATGAGAACACTCCTTTCATTCTTCCTATTGAGGTTTTTTAGTATGAAAAGATAATATGAAGGATTCCTTTAAACAAGTTATTAAGAGTCTGCTTTATACATTCAGTTTCCTCGTTTGGTAGAGATGATAACACCTGTCTTGTATTATATTAGGTGTAAATAATTAATTTACATTAATTAATTAATTTTTTACATAATTACTATGTGCCATTTATGTAAAAAGTAATCCTTTAACACTTGGAAATTCATTCACATGGGTGTTTGGAAGTTAGAATTCTAGCTAAACACTTTACATGTAGTAATTTATTTAATCCTCACAACAGCCCTGTGAAGTAGGTGCTATTATTCTCACCCATCCTCCCTTTTTTACAGATGAAGAAACTGAGGCATGGAGACATTATACTACTTCTCCAACATCACACAACCAGTAAGTATTCAAAATCAAGGAATCTTGGTTCAGACCCCTAATTTTTAACCCCTAAGCTAACCCTGCCCTCTAAACAAACACTGCCTGTCACATAGTAAAAACTCAGTGGTCGACACCTAAAATTGAAG